AAGAATCGTTGTCATTTTTATTGTGAGGAAACTAGGGTTCACTGAGATTAGCTGACATGTCAAAATCAGGGTATCAGGAAATACCAGAGTTGGGATTTCCAGATTTGCTTAGCTACAAATCTTTGCTCTGTGCTGTGCTAATAGAGTATGCAAAGCGGGTCCAGGGCCCCTCGGAGGAGGATGAAATGAATGACCTCAGACTACAACATTTCCAGGTGGAATTCATCCTTGTGAAAGTACATATGGGGAAAAGGCGAATGTCTGTGTGTTTCTCCTGGACATGCCGGAGGATGGTGTGGGTCATAAAACATTTATGCCTTTGCAATCGCAGCATCCAGACAGCGAGAAATCAATCTCTCTTCCTGTTTATGAAGAGATGCAGGGAATGACTACAGAATATGGGAGGAAAGGCTAAGTGGGTCGTTAGTTAAAATACACTCCAGGGAGCTTCCTGGGGAAGTGCCAGAAAATCTCAAAGGCCATTTCATTTCAGGCTCCTCCATCTCTTGTCCTCAGTTAAAGTTTATGGAGCTCCCCATACGTGCCAGGGTTTGCACGTGCTCAGATCCCAGGCTCTCTGTTCGTCTTTGACCTTGAACAGTTGCTTATCCTCTGTAAGCCCCCATTATAAGTCTTGCGTAGATTCATAAAATGATAATGCCAACTGCTTCTTTGAAATAGAATCTTAGATGAGGATAACACATGAGTGCCCAGTGCAGGACCTGCCACCCAGGGGGACACTCAGCTAAATAAGTCTCCCCTTTCTTGCCACCCTTGCTTATGCCCCCTTTGAAGAATTAAAGTAATTCTAGAAATGCCTGTAGCAATAGGTTGTGGTTAGTTTGCGTCAGGGATGACCAACCAATATACAAAAAGAAAGAAAATTAAGTGAGAGTGAAAGTTTCCTATAGGTCAGGAAAGTGGGGTGGGGTACAGGAGTCACCAGCGTTTTTCCAGGGATAACGTACACTGGTGGTCACAGGCATGCCCCTCTCCCACGAGGGCGTACGCCCACAGGTGTACACATTTGCCTTTGCTGACTCTGGCTCCTGGCCAAGCCTTGCAACCCTCAGTAGAGATTTATAAAGCCTCAACAGTGCTCCACACAGACCTGTTGACTATTTTCTGGTTGTTTTTATTTTTATTTTCTAGTTGTAGTTAGACAATACCCTTGGTTTTATTTATTTTTATGTGGTGCTGAGGATCGAACCCAGCGCCTTGCACGTGTTAGGTGAGCATTCTACCGATGAGCCACAACCCCAGCCGCAAGCCTGCAGACTTTTAAAGACCCCAGCACTGAGATAATAGCTAACCACTCTTATGCAACTGAAGTTTTCTAATCATAAACAAATCTCTCTTCTAGATTTCTGGATTGCAAAATCTGACTGCAGTCATTAAATCTGAACTTCACTCCCTCTCCTGCTCTCTTCTCTGCCTCTCTCTTCCTGATGCCTGAGAACTGTGCGTTTTGCCAGTTGTATGATCCCATGGGGGATGCTGGTTACTGGGAACACAGTAGTGAGATGAGCAGGCAGATTGGATCCCTCCTTAAATCCCACTAGAGAAAGAAAAGTGATAAGCACACAAATAAAGAATAAAATTGGGCCAGGCACGGTGGCTCACGCCTGGAATCCCAGCAGCTCAGGAGGCTGAGGCAGGAGGATCACGAATTCAAAGCCAACCTCAGCAATGGTGAGGCGCTAAGCAACTCAGTGAGACTCTGTCTCTAGATAAAATACAAAATAGTGCTGGGGATGTGGCTCAGTGGTCGAGTGCCCCTGAGTTCAATTCCCAATAACCAAAAAAAGAATAAAATTGGACCCTGGCTCTCAGCAAGCTGCTTGAGCAGACATGTATAGGGGAGTAAATCCTATTCTTCAGCATGGGCCTCATGCCTCTTCTAATTTGGAGGCCAATGCTGCAGTGAACAGTTCTCCTCAGGAGCCACTGTCTTCTTGGTGCCCCAGAGTGACCCAGAAGTGATGGAGACGGGCCAGGGTTGGAAGACATCAATACATTTTATTGCCCTGATTTTGCCAACAACCATGTCAAGAGCAAGCACTGGGACAGCCCAAGTGCCCAAACCTTCCCTCACATAAGCTACTGTTCCATCCTCTCCAGTCTCTTCCTCGTTCGTTGCTTTTTCCTATCATAGTAATCTTCCTCTGGTGCTAGACAGAGTCACTGTTAAGAGAAGCAGCAATGGAAACCTGGAGTCTGTTCCTGAGGAGAGTCCGAACCGATGTTCTTCTTTGGACTGTCAGAATGTCGTGGCCTGTGACATCTGCCAACAGGCACTGGCACAGCCTCCAGCTGTTTGGCATCATAATAGGCCCCTAAAATTTCACCCATCCTTCCATATATGGAAGTAAAACTCATGTCGAAAGAGTAGAAATCCAACAGAGCAATTGGGAAATCGTGTTTGTGTCCCAGGTAAAATGCTGATAATAGTGGGATTCCCAGGCAAAAAAGAAAAGACTCCAAACTTAACTGAGTGTCTATTCAGCCAAACCTAAACAGGATATTTAAGAAGATTTCTCAGCGGGAAATTAAATGAAGCAAAATGAAGGCCAACCAAGGCAGATACCTCTCCTTACACAGGGTGTGCAATCAAGAGCTCCCTAGTTGGGACCCCACCTGCAGCTCTCTGCCCTGCAAAGAGAATAATTCCTTTATCAGCTCTGTCCATAGCAAGTCAGAGAACAGCTCACTCCTGGGCTGCTTCTCAAGCCCAGCAAAGTTGCTGATGTTGGACGGGTGCTCACAGCACTTGGGTCTAGGTTTTTTGAAGATCTCTGTCCTCGTGACCCCACACAAACTGCACACCTGTAGAAGAAAGGCCCGGTTTTCCAGTTTCCCCGTTTTCTACCAGGCCTCCTTGCTCCTGCACAAGCTGTTACGAGGTCTAGAATGGCCACAGCCTCTTTGCTCACCTGGCTGAAGTCTGCAGGACCTATAAGATCCACTTCAGGGTGATTTCCTCACCTTTGGGTCAGATCTGTTTCCTGAACTTTGGGCTTGTCCTGCTGTCACCTCTCATGGAACTGCTGAAACTTATCTCCCACCTCAGCTGATGAGGAGCTGGCCCAGCAGCTGCAGGGTGCAGTGGCTTAGGGCTTGGGATTCTGCAGTCACATGACCTGAGTTAAATCCTACTCTTCCACTTTCCAGATGTAGGAAACTAGGTGAGTTATTTCCCCTCCATGAGCCCCACTGTCAATACAGGAATGTGAACGCGTCCACCTTAGAGTGTCCTTGTGAAACTGAAGACGACTCCTGTGAGGGGCTTAGCGTAGCACCGCGTCACCACTCCCTCCATAATGCAGCTGCACTTACGGCACTTTTAAATCCTTTGAGTCAGGTGCTGCGGCTGCCTCTTAGAGCTGGGGTGCCGAGGGCTTGGGGAGGAGGAAATAGCCAGTGGCCAAGGCTGAGCTGGTAAATGGGAACCTCACTGTCAGGACAAGATGGGACACTTCTGGAAGCCAGGGGTAGCACTGAAGATTCTACGAGCAGTTATGTGTTGACACAGCGAAGCTTTAGAAGGCAGGCCAGGGAACGGATCTGAGAAAGGGAGAGACTGGAGGCTGAAGACCAGCCGGGAGGCTGCTGGAAGATTCCAGAAGAGCAGCATGGCAAGGCCTAGGGTGGAGTATGAATGCGAGAGCCACAAAACAGAAATGGCACATCTTGTGTTTATGGAAGAAGACAGGAGCGAATTTCAGACCTGGGAACCCAGGGGAGCAGTCATGGTACCATCAACAGAACGGGGACACAGATGAAAAGGGGACAGAGGGACAATGGAGTGAGCTCATCAGTCAAAGACCAGCCTTCGCCCTTGAGAGGGCCTCCAGTGGAGGTGAGGTAGGGCAGCTTGAGGGGAAAGGGAGCCTGGAGGTGCCAGCTCTACAGAGTCACTGCTGTGACAGAACTGCTCCCAGACCTCACCTCCATGTGACACTGCTGCAGCCACACGACCATGCAGAGACAGCCACACACTCACCACCACACACACAGGTGATTCCCCATTCCCTAGTGCACTCACAACACACACGTGTGCACACACGGACTATAAGTCATAAAACAGATCAAGTATTCACGGTGCCAGGAGGAGCAGCCATTAGTGGGGACTGTGTAGTTACAAGAACCAAGTCAGAGAGCTGGGCTGAGTCAAACTCATATCAGAGCATTTTTTAAAACATTGCAAAATGTGAGACAGGGACATGACCCCTAGCTAAGAGTGTGCATTTGCTCCTGAGCTTTAAGTCTAGACTTGTGACCTGTGGCTCGCTCTTTTCCCATGTGTCCTTTGCACTCACTGACTCTTGCATTTTCTGATTTTACCTCCCCTTCACCCTGCAAGTCACTTAGGGTCAGGAATGTTGTTATCCCCACTTCACGAATGAGGACACACAAGCTCAGAGAGGAAAGTCTTTCTCAAAATCGTATTGTTAATAAATGATGGAACCATGATTCAAATTCAGCCAGTCTGCCCCCCGGGAGGTTACGTTTCCCCTGCCACGTGAAATGACTCACAGACCAGGACTGCGATGATGATACACATTTTGTATTGTAAGCCAACAAGGAAGAAGGGGTGGGATGATGTAGAGGGGATCATGGCCATTATTTCTTTTGCTGTATCCTTCTTTTAAGAAAAGTTCCCATTTTTAAGTTGTGATGGGGGGGATAAAGTAAATACCATTATTTATTCAAATAATAGGAGCAATGGTAAGTTTCTGAGATCCCTTGGAATCCAATAAGAAAAGCTCTTCGGAAAGAACTTTTGAAGCTGAGTTTCAAGGGCAAGCAGAAAAGAGAAAGGCCACTAGGGGTGGCCCAAGAGGAAAGCGGAGCGCTAAGGTGCAAGATTCTCACCAACCAAAATAGTCTCCCACCATGTCCCTCGTCACAGAGGACCCAGCAGCAGCATCCTGATCATACCATGCCCTGGGGTCACAAGGACCACAGGGAGTCTAAACCATATCCTTCTTTCTCAACAGATTCCAAAAGAACAGGAGTTTGGAACCTCACATCAGCCATTTTGTAAGTATGTTCATCTTTGAGGGCCTTTCTTGGGGGAGCAAGAACATTTCTAATAGTGATAGATTGGCCTTTGGGAGATGGATCTTGAATCATCCAGTTGCTAAGCTGATGGTGCAGACCTAGAGGAACAGGGAGGCTTCCCCTCATTACTAAGAGGGCGCAACAGCACCATGGCCAAGTGCAGGGCCTACAGAGCTGGTGGCCCGAAAGCAAACCATAGTCCTGGAATGTACTAGCATATGACCCCTGATCAAACAATTCCACCTGTCTCTGTCACCATTTATTCACCTCTAAACCTGGTTTTGTAGCTCCTCAACAGAGTTAGAGTGAATTCAATTAGTTCATTCCTGTAAAGGGATGAGGACAATACCCGGCACATCAGAAGTACAGGGTGGCCTTTTGCTTTTTATCATTATCAACACCATCAGCTTTATCCCTGCAGTTAGAATACCCTTTATTCAATATCATCATCTCTGAGAGTCAAAGGGAAATTCTAAGGTTTTCTCAAGAACTAATGGGGAAATGAAGGCCCAGAGAGGGAAAAGGACCTCCCAAGTTCAGAGAGCTACAGAGTAGATTCCACCTGTCCTCTGAAACTCCAGAGGACAGAGAGAGAGAATGCAGAAGTGTGTGTGTTAAAAACCCACTGAGAAACGAGAAAGTTAGAAAGCAAGTGTCCTCTCCTGACCCATGTTTGTTGGGCCATTGAGATACCTCATGGGTAGAATGAGAGGAACCATGGAGAGAGCAAAAGGCCAGTTAGCTCTCACGAAAGCAGCATGGGGAGAAGGAGCAGCATGTTCTACTTTACCGAGCAAGGACCATGTGCCAAGAATCATGATAAAAACTCTCCATCCATGAAAGAGATCACAGGGCCCATCTTAGAGATGAGAAAAATGAGTTTCAGCTCAGACAACTTCCCCAATCATGGGGCCAAGATCCATTTGCACTCAACACTCTCCTAAATCTCCCCTGTCCCCAGAAGTGCTTACGGCAGGTTCCGCATACCAATCCCAAGTCCACAGGAGTGAAACTGGACCAGGCTGGCCGAGACCAATGTTCTCTCCCAAACTCCCAAAGTGCAGTCCTCACCCCCATCACCTCTGACTTATGCAAGCATCTCTCCTTTTGTTACAGACGCACCTCTCCAAGCTGATAGAGAGAAGCCCAGGGCACACCTGACAGGTAAGAGTCCTGGGTTAAGTTGTAATGGGGAAAAGGAAATAAAACAAGTACCATTATTTGTTCAAATAACATGAGCAATGTAAGTTGTTGTGACCCCCTGGAGTAGAATAAGAAAAGATTTCAGGAAACAACCTTGAAGCTGAGATTCAGACAAGAGAGAAAGGCCACTGGGAGTGTCCATAGTCCCAAGATTTCTTTCAGTATATTTACTCAAACTCATTCTGGTAGCTTTAAATTGGAAACCACAGACCCTGGTAACAGATTTCTCTCAATCAAAGGTTTCCAGATGTCTCCCTCCCTATGAAGGATCCAAAGGCCTATGTCTCTTGCATACTTTCTGATTCTATCATCCTTCCCTTCCCCTTCCCCTCCCCTCCCCTCCCCTCCCCTCCTCTCCTCTCCTCTCCTCTCCTCTTCTCTTCTCTTCTCTTCTCTCTCTCTCTCTCTCTCTCTCTCTCTCTCTCTGTTTGATTCACATAGTCAGTCATTTAGAAATGGACTTCCTTAGACTGGAACTTCAAGTAATTCTGGATCTGGTTACAGATGAAAGGGCCCCAAACTTAGCAATCTATCCATTTCACCTATACCCCCTTCAAGATGTTGTCATTAGACATTTGCATTCAAGAAGTTATTTCCAAAGAATTTCCTGTAATGTGAACCTGTTCAGAGGAATCTCATCATTTCAGCAGATGGCCAGTTTTCCAAGTCTAATGTGGAAATTCCAGGTCCCACATACCTGAAGTTCATAGACCTCTGAAACTCCAGAGGACAGAGAGAGAGAGAGAGAGAGAGAGAGAGAGAGAGAGAGAGAATGCAGAAGTGTGTGTGTTAAAAAACCCACTGAGAAACAAGAAAGTTAAAAAGCAAGTGTCCTCTCTTAACCAGTGAACATTTGCAACAGTCAAGGGAATATCCTTGCAGCCTAAGATTTTTGTGTTACTATTTGACTAAGAGGGGATTGTTGGTGGCAAGTCCTGAGTAAGGATTAGTACCAGGGAGATGCCAAATTGCCGTCATTTTCCCTTTTTGTGTAAGAACGGAAGGGAGACTGGGTATGCATATGGAGATGCCAACCCTCTTTTTATGAATAAAGAGACATAGAAACTGGGGAAGAGGCTCCCAATATGTGCCAGACTGCAACAGGCATTTGACCTCCATTATCTCATTTAATCTACATATTAGTCCTATAACCAGGCAGTAGATAGCCCCATTCACAGATGGAAAACTATGGCTTAGGCAACTAAAGTCACATGTTCCTAGCCAGTTGTCCAGGAAATGGAAGTATTCCGACTTCAGCTTGCCTTTCAAAACTGCACTTTCCATGACAACACACTTCCTCTCACAACTCCTACCTGTTGATGTCGACATAGCTAATTGCAAGCCAATCCAATAGAACTTGCCTTAACTGGAGGCTTCACGGATTTTGCTTTTGCATCATCTAAGAAGAATTCTTTTAAAAAATTAGCCTGTCATCTTGAAAGCAGGAACAGAGTCTTCCTTTATGTGGAGTTCACAAAGGCCATCTAGTGGGGGGACAAGAGAAGTCCGTACACATTTGGAATGTGTCATAGTTGCAAAGGAGACCCTAGTTCATTCAACAATGGGGAAGACACTATACAAAACCAGAAACTAGATCTCCGGATGCCCAGTGGGTGTGCCGGTTGCTAAATGGTTCCTTTAAACACAACCTATCCCAAAACTGTAGATTGGGTACATAATGGCAATTGCTATGGGTTTCAAAAAAGCAGTTATAGGAAATAAAAATGGTTTTATTTCTCCCCATAAGAATTAGTTTTACTGCAGAATATCTTATTTGAAATCAGTGGTTTGAATCAAGTTTGATTCTACTCCTTGCCTTCTGCTATTAACATTTTCATAAAAGCATTCACTAGTATGTTTTATATAATGTCTACGTATGACTAATGCAGACATAAGAACATATATAAACAGATCTCAAAGAAAATAGAGTGGTTTTTGGTTTTTTTGTCTGTCAAAATGAAAGTTAGATTTATTTGAGGGAAGAAAAATTGAGTGCAACTTTATCCAGCCAATTGTGATTAAAAAAAAAATAATCACGTCCGCTATGTACACTTAATCTTCAGAATGACACTCTTGAAAAGCTTTATCCCCAGTTCACAGACAGGAGACTGAGGCTCAGAGAAGAGAGTGAACCTGCAGAGTTGATTAATGAGCCAGTGTATTGCAGAATCACAGTTGGTACTGGGCCCAATGGCCCCAAGCCCAGGTCCCTTCCACTCCATAAGTCAATTACATTGACTTATATTTTGGCTCTGTCAATGTGGAAAAAGAATTTCCAAAATGTTCTAAGTCTCTGCTTCCAACATGTACTGCAAGGTAATTCTTTATTAATTACGGCCTGTGATTCCTCTGACTTTGGATGAGAATTGGAATGCAGAGATGTGAACCTCTCTCTCTCTCGATCTCTCCTGATAAAAGTGAATAAACTTTAGAGAATATCCCAATAGCTGGGGGTTTTACACATATCACTTCTTTTAATCCTTTCCACAGTATTATCTCTATTTTTTTAAAGATCTGTCTATTAAAAACCAAGACAGATTCCATAAGGAGACTCATTATACAAAAAGAATTATTACTAGAGGTGGGAGGGAAGGGAAAGAAGAAACTATAGTCCTGGGCTCAGTATTCCTGTGGAATTGATTCCAGGGCTCCTGCAAATACCCAAAGCCTCAGATGGAAGTCCCTTATGTAAGATGCTATAGTATTTACACATAACTCATGTAAGTCCTACCTTGTCTTTAAATCACTCTAGACGATTTATAATAGCTAATACAACGTGAATGCTCTGTAAAGAGCTTTCTACTGTATTGATTAGGGAATCATGAAAAGAAGAAGTCTGTATACGTTCAGTACAGACACAGGTTTGTTCTGTTTTGTTTGCAGTATTTTCCATCTTCATCCTCAGTTGGTTGAATCTGTGGATGCGGAACTGAAGATAGGTAGGGCTGTCTATACTGGGCCTGGGAGGGGACTAAGGCTCTAGGAAGAATCTGTGACAGTGAGATATGCTGGTTTCTCCAGAGTGAAGCTAAAAAATGTCTGTGTTTGATCTCTATAAGCAAAGTGAACAAAACTAGAAAGAAGCAGGTACAGGGAAGTGGGGTGAAAGGGGGGCGCGATTGGATCAGAGAATGTTCTACCCCAAGGCTAGCCTAGTCTCTGGAGGGCTATCTGCTGCTCAGGCTGAGGCTGGGCCAAAGCCCAGGTCCTGGGAGAAGGAAAGAAGCTTAACCAGTTTGGTCAATAAGCATTTTGTTCCAGTTGGTCCATGAGGATAAAACAGTTGTGCTCATCATTCCTGTGGTATCTGGCCTGGTCGTGGGTAGACAAGGGTGGCATCCATAAGCTGGGCTAAGTTGTTTGGGGAAGACAGCCCTTTGCTGTAAGCCATTTTCTGGAACACAGAGGAGTGAGGGGATTTCTTAACCTTCACTGTTTTTCAGGATTACAGGCCTCTGGTAAAATTCCAAAATTGTTCAATCAGAAAGCTCAACCTGAGTAAAGCAAAGTCATTTTCCCCAGGTCCCCATCCCAGATGCCACACCCTGAACAAGCATCCACCTCTACTCACGTACCCTTCCTCCCCAGGGTCATTGGTAGTCCTTGGTTTATCTCAGTCCTTGTGCTCTTTGAAAAATGACAGAAGACTTTTTAGCAAAGTCCACGGGTTCCACCTTGAATCATTCAAACCTCTTTCTTATCTTTGCAGTTGTGAGACAGACTCCCTCACCACACCTGAAAAACCAGTTCCCAGCTCTGCACTGGGAACATGAACTGGGCTTGGCCTTCACCAAGAACAAGATGAAGTACACCAACAAATTCCTGGTGATCCCAGAGTCGGGAGACTACTTTGTTTACTCCCAGATCACGTTCCGTGGGACCAAGTCTGAGTGTGGCAGCATCAGCCAGGGGAGACAACAGATCAAGCCGGACTCCATCATTGTGGTCATCACCAAGGTAACGGACAGCTACCCAGAGCCCGCCCAGCTCCTAACAGGGACCAAGTCTGTGTGTGAAATTAGCAACAACTGGTTCCAGCCCCTCTACCTCGGGGCCATGTTCTCCTTGAGAGAAGGGGACAAGCTGATGGTGAATGTCAGTGACATCTCCTTGGTGGATTACACAAAAGAAGATAAGACCTTCTTTGGGGCCTTCTTGCTATAGGGGTAAAGCAGGTGTCCCTGCCTCCTACCTCCCAATTTGGTCCATTCAGATGTAATTATAGCCAGGGGTTTTCTTGGGGTCAGAGGTAGGGGGCATTCCACAGGGACAGTGGTTTAGCTATGAAATGTAGGGCCCCAGAGTTCACACTGATGAGAATACTAATTGGGGGGGAGGGGGAAGCAGAATAGAGCAGACAAGTCCTCACGGTGGCTTGAAGGAGCATCGAGTTTCTGGAACACTGATCAGCAAGCGAACGAACTGTCTGCTCAGATCATGATTTAAAGGACATTTCCACACCTCCCTGCTAGGTGATTGTCACCTGTACTCCGTTTATGGTTCAGTTTGATCAGAGTTTTGCCTTAGTTCAGGAGCTTTTGACAAAACCCAAAGAAAGTCCAAGAAAACTGTATACCCTGAGGAGGAAAAATCCTTTATGGTGTTTCACATACCTTCATGCCTATTCTGAAGAAGAAAGAGAGAGAGAGATGGTATTTTACATGAATTTTGTTCAAAAAGGAATTGGTCTTCATGCCATGTCTGGTCTATGACAAAAGCTACCATTCTCTTGATTGTGTACACAACTACCAAAATAAGCAAGTGTGAGTTCCACCTGCATATCATAAACCTCAGCAAGTGCATGGTTCAGAGCAGTATTCTTGTGTACCTATCGTGTTCTGGGCACTGTGAAGAACAAGACACATTCTACTCAAAACTTACATAATTACCACTAAATGCTTCCTGGTCAAATATCAATTGAGATACTCCAAAGAACTTCAAACCCCCCCAAATTACATATGTCATCTGAAAATGTTATTTCTAGAACTGTCTTGTGAAGATAAGCCATTGATCAAATCACTCAAGAAACATGAAGATCATTCAAGTGAACTAGACATACACAAAACTTGATTGATGCCAGGAGACAACAGAATTTGTTCTCTGGGAAGGAAAAAAATGTCAGCCATCAAATCTGGATGGGTTAACCTGGGTCCACTTTGAAGTTTATTTTGCAACTTTATGTACAGAGACTTAACTGGGTGTTATTCCCTTAAAATATAAGGGACTTAAATATAGGGTTAATTAATCAGCCCAGTCTAGAGGACATTGAGAATGTCCCTTCTATGCTTCAGTGATACATATGCCCTCGTTGGTGTGATTCTCGTGCCCTGCTACATCAAAGGTCAGATGGCAGTTCTGCTCACTTAGCCTTTGTTGACTGGAACCCACCAATTTGTTTCCCAGGATCCTCTGAGCTCATTGGAATGCAAAGGGTTAACTTTCTGCAGGCTGTGTAATCTGAGAGCATCTCAGGGAGACACAGCTGGGAACCTCCTGCACCACAGCCTCTACTAGACATGCTCCTGATCATGGAAGACCTCATAGATAGGTCTCAGCAGAACTTGATCCTGGACTTACTCTTACACTGGTTGCCAGGCAACTCTAGAGGCAAAGAGACATTAGATGTGGGTCCTGAACACAGTGACGGGTTGAGTCGTGGTACTGGATCAACATCAGTTGAGTAATAATTAAATACAAACCAATGTCCAGTTTCTCCGTTGAGAGATGACAACTCCCCACGAATCTTCTGACCTCTGCTAGGGCTAAATTCTCCGGGCTTCTTTCTTACCTTCAGCTTCTTCAGTCAGCTCAAGACTCAGGGACACTGGGGGCAGGGAAGGCTGTGGCCTCCACCTGGTTCAGAGTCTTCTTAGAGGAAGTAAGATCTGAAAGAAGGTGGGCAGCCCCCAGTGACCACAAGGAAAGGGCAACTCCAAAGCAGGAATCATCCCCTGCTTCAAGCAGAAAGGAAAGGTTTCTCATTAACTCTAAAATTAGTGTGACCAAGAATGTCCCCCCCAACCAGCCCCTAGAACCATATTTATTGTATATCAAGAATGCCTCACCAATGGCCTAGCATAGCTCCAGGATCAGAACTAGCATCCCATTCTGAATTAGAAGTCAGAATGCTGTGTCTACCCAGTGCAGAAGAGCTTCCAGCAACCAGGGCTGCCAGAAAAGAATTTGCACCAAAGAGGCCCCAGGGAACCACTCACCTGCTCCACTAATAGGCTTTGTGTCGAGGACCTTCAAATTTGCTCAAGGGTGATCTAGTGGATTTGGAAGTTTATCCAGGACAGAAATTTCCTAATATCTTAAGACACTTGAATCTTTGGCAAAATCTCTGCCAAGTATTTATTTTGTGCCTGTCGTCAGCTCGTTTATTGAATTATGTGGCTGTTGGTTTGTGAAATTCTTAACTATCTTGTAGTGTTCAGCCACACATTCCTAATAACGCTCAAGTCAGAACTTCTGTTTCCAAAGCATTATCTTGATAGCAGACGTGATTGTTGCTATTTTTAAAAGCAAGGTGGAAAAATGCTTCCTAAGAATTTGTGATGGTCCCCAGAGGGGACTAATGGCATGCATTCAGAGCTTGGGAGAGAAGGGGATGCTTTATAAAACAGATAATTTAGGGAGAAAGTTCTGTACAGGTTAAATGGCTCTTAAAAACCTGAACTCTAATCAATTCCACAAACATTTACTGAGTACCTACTTACCCTGAGGATACAGAAATAAATTATTTTTAGTCTCAGACATGCAGATTCTAACTGCTCTGTAACTCCACTTTCTGCAGATCTCTTAATTTAGTTTGGTTGTAAATTAGCTTATTAATTAGCTAACTTTGGGCGCATGGATGCTTTCTTATTACAAAAAAAAGGGTACCATTCGATGCAGTCTGAGCATTAACAAAGTGATTTGTATTTATTCTGTTTTTTTAATAGCTACTCAAAGAGCAGTTTTTTATAAATAAATATAGGAAAAAAACAAAGATACATTTTTCTAAGGTTGGATGCACTGTTTAATAAGCTACATGTAGAGAAAGATCATCATTTACTGGTCTCATGTTTGGTCACCAACACCCTTGAAAATATTCTAATTCTAAAGATGACCCCGAGATGACTTGAAAAGACTGTGTTTCTCAACAAATTCATGGGTCACTAGCATTTTGACCTTAGCATGGTTTAGATCTATTTGGCAGAATTGTTGGGCTACTAAAATTTCTACTTTTTTTAAATTTTTTTTTGGATTAAGATACAATAGGAAAAGTGAAAATCGTATTTTTTTCATATCCTAAAATGTGTCAGTTGGGTTCAGTGACAAGGCATGTCAGAGTCCTTGGCTCCATTTCAGTCCAAGCTCTATCACCCCCTGGATTATAAATTAGCTCACCATACATAAGGCATGGCCATTGCCAACGTTCTCTTGCAAGGTTTTTTCTCAAGTCCTTGCTCAGCCCTGTTCCCATGATTGTGACATAGGATGTAGGACAGGTCTATTTCTATTCTGTAACTTGCAAAACACATGCCGATCTCTCCCGCCTCAAATTTTTTTCTGTTCTTTCATGGCCCAGAGTCCTGGAAACTTTTGTCATTTTTAGCAGAATTTTCTTTCAGTGTACATCATTATTCTTGGTGTTAATATTATTGCATCTTATTGGCAGCTAGGCCTTTGGAGAATTCAGTGAACTATTAACCCCCAAATCCTTTTGCACCCGTGGTGAGTGGTTAGGTCAGAGAAGCCATATTCATGCCTCACCCTACTCTAACAACCATATCTACAATCTCCCAAGCTCTGAGACACATTTGTCCCCGCCTCTTCCATCACTCCTTTTAAAGAAACTATTGTACCAGCCTGAATAGAAGTTACTCATACAGGATGACACGAGTTAACAGCAGATCTAGAGCCAGGTTCTGTCTTCCTGAGTCGTAATTCTGGGATCATCCAATTACGCTCTACTCTTGACTAACAGTGAGCAATTTATAACCAGAGAAGAACAAAAGAGTATCTTCAAATACCAAGGGGGCAATGTAGAAAGGGGAGGAGAATTCTTCCATATATCCCTGAAGAAAAGGGTTGGAGCTGAAAGTTAGGGTTCCGGGTCACCATCTCTGGACTTCACAACCAAGTGAACTTTGTGTCCCCAAATAGAATTGCTCCAGGTAGTGATTCCTCATTCCCCGAAGATATTCAAGCAAAAGACTCATCACAAGAATTTTGTGGAAGCCACTTCTTCCTTGAGACTGGGGAAGGGACTGAGCCAAAGGATTTTCGAAGCCTTTTCCAAATCCATGACTATGTGGCCTTGCCAGGAGTCCAGTAGCTCAGCCTAGACGACGCAGTCATGTCCCACTTGTCTAGAAAACATCCAACACAACGTGACTCTGAGATCTTGGACAGCAGAGAAATGTCATGGCTGACATGATCTGCAGAAGGTTACATCATTTCAAGGATGAAGAAATCCAGGCTCAGAGAGGTGACATAAGTGACCCAATGCTAGTCAGCAGGTAGTCAGAACATTGAGAGTCCAATTCCTATCTCCTGATGCCAGAGCCCAAAGGTTTTTCAGTTTCACCCATGAGTCAATTATTTTTGAGCCTCTGTCATATGCCACACTTACCTAGATCTGGAGAGCGGAGCGGGAAGGTGACAGGCAAGTCCTCGCCTCGTGGTGTAATGCAGGAGGGAGGAAGCACACAAGATGCTGAGCAAATAAAGCAGCTGCACTTAAATGATTTTATTGTTAAAGTCATTAAAATATGTAATTTCCCCCTCTTTTGTTTTGGGGGTGTGTAGATTGAACAAATGTAGGTATTTATGTGATTCTAGTAATAAGCCCCACGTGCTTTCATTGATTTTATGTTTTATGTTAAAACGTCACAACCGCAACGTAAAATGCATATTGTATGTTGTTGGATATGTACTTAAATGGTATGCATCCCATGTCTTTGGGCACTATACTGTACAAATTCTAATTCCTGTAAATGAAAGGTTGCATATGTTTATGTATTTAATAGATGTAATTTAATAAACTGGCATTGAAGGCTGCAGAATTGTAACAATTTGGTCAGTTCTTTTGTTGGCCTGTTCATTTGTGTTTCCTTTTGTATTAGGGTCACCTCTTGAGATTTTTTTAAATGGATCCAATTCTCTATTACCTGAATGCAACTGATCTTCCCAGGTAGTCTTATAACAAATTAATTGTGAAATATTACAGATTGTGCCCCTCTGATCAAATGAGAAAAAGAAACAAGGTTTTTTTCTCAAGTCCTTACTCAGCCCTATTCTCGTGATTGTGACATAGGGGATTAACTTTTAGGACAGGTCTATTTCTACTCTGTAACTTGCAAAACACATGCCGATCTCTCCTGCCTGGGTTCCTTTGATGAATTAGGAGACTCTTGTTAAATGGCTTGATTTCACAATAAATGACCCTGAATAAAGATAAAGAGAAGCTGGGCAGAGCCGTGGGAGCACTTGATGCAACCAAAATATGGATCCAGGTCTGTCCCTAGCATTAGAACTGCCACCTCTCCTCAAAATAGCAATCAGGGCTGGGCACGGTGGAGCATGTCCTTAATCCTTACTACAGGGGAGGCAGAGGCAGGAGGATCTCAAGTTCAAAGACAGTATCAGCAACTTAGGGAGGCCCTAAGCAACTTAGTGACACCCTGTCTCATAATAAAAAAAATATAAAAAGAGGTAGGGAATGTGGCTCCGTGGTTAAGCATCCCTGCATTTAATTGCTGGTACCAAAAAAAAAAAAAAAAGATTCAACAGAGCTGTTTCTTCCCACTCTCCAGAGTGGTACCGGAGGTCATTGTTGGGTTCTGTCAATATTAGCTTGAACCATATCAAACTGCCATTTCTGAGGGTGAAAATGATCACATGTGAGAAATTCCACTTGTTTCCACCGATAGCTAAGGCAGAGTCCAACATTAAGGGAGAGAGCATCGGGCTCGCCTCCAAAACACCATCCTGAAAAACTCCCTTCCCATGGGGATCATGGCAGGCACCAATGTCCTTCTGAAGTTCAGTTCTCATGTTAGTCCATATCCACCCCAGGAATAATAAGAACAAAAAGTTCTTTACACTTATACCAGGAAATGAATCGTTTGCCCTAAATTCATTTAGCCCTAAATACCTGGGAACGTCCTTATGTCAATTATCCAGATGGAAATGTTGATAGAAGCCTACCTAGGTCACCCCAAACAAGGTTTTCAGTCAGTTCTCAAAAGGAGTCTCCATCTCCAGGAATTTTGAAGCAAAGAGACGAAAGTATTCCACTGTCTTTCCTGATGTTGGTCCATTTGTGCACAGGGGACATCCCATGTCCAAGCAGAGTCCAGCTCACTTCCAGTCAAGATGCACAGATGTGGTGTCTATTGTGATTTGTGATGTCCGCACCACAGGGGCTGGAGATATTTTAACCGCTATATCTGTTTATATTGCTTCTACCCACCCAACCCCACATGTGATTATCATCAATAATACTAATAATGTCTCAGGATGGAATCGTAGAAGATGCAGTGGGTCAGGAGTAAGAAGACCTGTGTTCTGGGACCACATTGACCCAACTTGCAAAGTGTGAGAACTGGGTCCACATTCTATGGGTTTTAGTTTCCTCCTCTAATTCCAAGCAGGTTATCTTAATAATTCTATGCTTTTAATATTTGAGTTTCAAATAAGCTTCCCTTTTTCAGGTGAGTGGAGGGAGACAAGAGGGTTTCTCCAAGAGAAAACAAAATTCCCCAGAGTACCTAATGCTGCAAAGTTCTCCTGCTGTCTTATGGGGACTTTTTACCTCTTCAGCATAGGAAATAGAAAGGTAACTGGAATTGAGATGTGAATTCCAGGGTCCTCTGGGGCTGGTCCTTGTTGACAGCACCCTTTATTCCCCCCTGCTCACCTGCCCCTCCATGTTGCTCAAAGCTACGTAGCCCGAGTGATTGACATGGATTTGGACCCATGACTCAGTGTGACTTTAGCCTTTTATCAACTCTCCTTTCTGCTTCTCAGTCTTACCCACGGCTCCGCATCTTATTTCCTAGTCTTAGGCAAGTCATCCAACTTCTTTCGACCTTAGTGAGGATCTCTTAAATTGACTTCCGGCCCTAAAATACTAGGATTCCAGGTAAGCCGTGCCAAAATTGTCACCATTCCCACACCACAGATGAGTAAGTCAGGGCTTACTTTTTTTAAGAGGACATCTTACCCAGGGCCTCTCTCTCCAGGCCACACATTCACCTCAGTATGCGACCATCAGGTCTTTTTCAGCAAACTCTGCCCGAGGCTGTGCCTCGGGAAAGTGCTTGACTAGCCCCAGGTCTACCTCACTGCCTTTCGTAGCCACAGTTCCCAATTGGAGCTGCACATTGGTGAAAGCAGGGGTAGGGAGAGAATGAAAAGTCCAATGCCAAGGCCACACCCCACACTAATTGAATCAGAATCTCCAATGGTGGGACATAGGCATTTGGGAGCAGGGGAGTAAACCAGGCACTGAACCCAGGGGTGCTTAACCACTGAGCCACAACCCCAGCCCTTTATTTTTATTTTTATTTTATTTTATTTTTTTGAGTCAGGGTCTTGCCAAGTTGCTGAGGGTCTTGCTAATTTGCTGAGGCTAGCCTTAAACTTGGAATCCTTCTGCCTCACCCTCACTAGTCGCTGTGATTACAGGCATGTGCCACCACCATGCCCAGCTTTTTGTTTTTTTGTGGTATAATTCCCAGGTAATTCCAATGTGCAGTCAGACTTGAGAGCCACAGTTTTCAAAATGCTACCGGCTGAGGGAAAGAGCAGGGACCTGAAGCTGGACCTGCCTTACGTTCTGAGCTCTGCCACATTCCATCTATGAGAACTCAACAGATGAATTCGTCCATCTGAGCTCACTTTCCTCATCTGCAAAATGGGAATATTCAAGTGCCCATCTCCTGGTGCCTTTGACAGGGTAAAATAAAATGATGCCCCTGAAGGTTCCTGATAATGGTCCTGGCAAGGTCCCCGGTCCCTGCTCAATAAGCAGCAGGGATCCCTCAGTCAGCAAATGCCCTGGGAATTCTGTTCTCTATTCTTCTTTTCTTCTACATTTAAGGAAGCAACACCACATGTGGAAATTACAAAATCATAATGAAATGGTAAAAGATGGTTTGGGGGCTTGGTTTTTCTTGCATATTTATGTCAGACATTGCTGGGAACTGAAGGTAAAATAGACAGGGGTATTGGGCTCACCAAAGTTGTGCACTGTTAGGTAGAGATGGGGTGGGAAGTTTCAATAAAGGAATTATCAAGTAATAACCCATTGTGATCAAGGATCTAAAGGAAACAAACAGGACACAAAGACAGAAAGCAAGGGGGACCTACGTTCTGCATGAGTGACTCAGGGAAAGCCCTCCAAGGCCATGTGCTCGGTGTGTTTTGTTTAGTTAACATTTGGACTTGGAACTCTGCAACACAACCACTGGCCAATGGCGAGCATGACTCACCTATGGGTACTGCTGATTACTAGGACCTCCGGGGGGCAAAGACCAAGGTAGCTGAGCCCTGGCCAGCTGCCAGCTGTCCCTGGGCCAAACAGACAAGTCACACCCTGGATTCCACTGGCAGCAACCACTTCAGCCATCCCAAGAGCACCACTTCATGCCCTCAGATGGGAAGTGTTTCTCTTGCAGATGCAACAGGGTGGCCAACTCCCCCCTGGGCACTCCCTGCTGTTTTTCAAGAATGACACTCTCTAGAGTTTACTTTCCTGTGTGCCAGGGAGCGCTCTTCCTGTGTGACCTTTCACTGGCATGATGATCTGAAATCATAAGTAAAATTACCAGGACATGTCCCTTCTCCCAAGACCCCATGCAGGAGGAGAATAGGGACTGGGTGACAACGCCCCATTTTACAGACAAGTTCACTGGGGCTTGGAGAAGAACCTGAAGGATTCAGAGGTACACAGGTTGACCAACAACAATACTGGTTTCCCAGACCTCCTTAAGGGATAGAGCCCATGGACAAAAGGGTCAGAGAGACCCCACTATGGGGTCTACACAGCAAAAATAAATCCCTGGAAGGGTTTTATTACAGATTTGAGCCAGGCAGGAGAAAAGGAGTAAGGTCCTAGGGCTGTGGGACCTGCTCTTCTCTCCAGAATTTTCTCAACCCTGACCATCTGTTCTTGGGCACTTGTGCTTGAGAGGCAGCTCCATTTTCCACCCTGAGTCCCAAGACAGACCTGGGTTCAACTGGGACTTGGTCACTACCCCTCAGCCACCATCTACTCACTCGAAAGGGCCACCTTCTGAGTCTTACGTCAGATTTCTTCTTTACTGCAACAGCCTCCTGAAGTGAGGCCCACCCCGTCCCTCCACCACACAGCAGCCAAAGGGGACAGATAAGATGGTCCTTCTATTTTAAAATGCTGTAGAAGCTTCCTCTCACCTTTAGAGGGAAATGCAAACTCCTGAACTCGGCATCCAAAGTTCTTCCTGATTCAGTCCCTCCCAACCTCTCAGCTTCACCCCTAGGCCCACCACCCCACATTAGAGGCAGTGGTGTGCTGATGAAGGCCAACAACCGGCTCTCCACGTTGAGGCCCACATGTGTGCTGTTTGCCAATATCTGTGGTGTAAATATTTCCACTGTGACGAGTTTCGAGCCACCACGTGCTGTCACTGAATGGAGAGTCGGGAGGAGAGGCAGAGTCACACACCTGCTGAGTAAAACTTCCACCCACGGGCACAGTAGGGAACAATAGAATGGACACCCTCAAGAGGCTGGATGACAGAATAAGTTAGTGATGACTAGGAAGGGGCAATGTGGAGTACTTCTGATTCTTGTTTCAATATTCTTTATTTCTAGGTAAGTTTATCTCACTTCATTTTTAACCATGGCTGTATTTAGTGACCAGCTCATGAAATTCCTGAAAACTTAATACTCAGGTCTTGTGAGCGGGTGCACACTAAGCTTCTGCATGCTTTTTACCAGCTCTAAGGTCACTTTTCACTCCAGAAACATTGTCACCCCATCCCCGCGGTGAACTCCTATTCATGTTTCAACACTCAGCTCAGATGTC